AGTAGGCTGGCGAGTGCGGCGGCCTGTAGTCCCAAAGCTACTCGGGAGGCTGAGCAGGACAATGGCGTAAACCCATGGAGGCGGAGCTTGCAGTGAGGCTGAGATCGCGCCACTGCACTCAGCCTCGGGCTCTGCCAGAGTGGACGAGCTCCGGTCTCAAAAAAAAAAAAAAAAGTGGCGCACTATAAAGTGGGTTCAGCCCTGATAAATCCTGGAGGACCTCCCTAAGTTTAGCGCCACCCTGCCCGCCTTTGTCTCTGGAGAACGCAGAGGCTGTGGTGGAGGGCTTGGGGTGGAGGAGGGTTGGGCAGCCCCGTAAGCGAGCAACGTCCTGAACCGCAGGTCTCAGCACACACGAATCTGTCCCTCTGGGCCATCCCTGAAATGTGTCAGGGGATGGCGGTTCGGTAAAGCATACAGTAAAGAACTTATTAAAACTTCCAAAGTTTCTCTGAACCAGGACAAAACCCTGGCATTCTGTGTCAGCATCCATTCTCGTATCTACTGAAAAATCCTGATGTACATTGCCATTAGAATTGATCATAATGCTTCAGGGCCTCACCCTTCGTAATGTGCTGGCTACCTGCATCGTGACTGACGCTTTATTTAGTCACCACTTGCATAGTGCTGAACAAATATTAATCCGCCTAATCTGTGCAACATCCTTATGATGTAGTGGCTATTATTAGCACCATCTCCATTTTACATATTTGGAGTAATGGGGCGTGGAGAGGTGAAGTAACTTGCCCCAAGTCACGTTGCTAGAAAGGAATAAGACTTGATTCAAGCCAGGCAGTCTAGGTATGGCCCATGCTCTTCAACGCTGGGCTACTGAACTTCTGTTCAATGAGGGAAGGCTGTTCAGGGCACGGAGCCTCACACTGGGGGCTCTGTGTTGTTTGGGCAGTTGTCTTGGCTCCCAAAATGGGTTTCAGCTGGTAATAATCGTAACCATAATAATCTATACTGTGGCCGGGGTGGTCTTTTGGAAACATAGGTCCAGTTACGTTAAGCCCCTACCTCTGCTTCTATCTCTTCAATGGATTCTTATTGTTCTTCAAGTAATGACCAAAATCCTTCAGAAGGCCCTCGAGGCCCTGCGAGACCTGGCCTCTGTCTACCGCAGAGCTCTAGCCCTCTCCGACATTTGCTCTCTGCCCTTCTATCTCCCTGTCGTCTTTTATTTCCTGTTATCCCAGGGCCTTTGCCCAAGCCATTGCCTCTCCCTGAAAGACTTTCCATTCACCTCCCACCCTTCCTTTGGCATTCAGCCTAACATCACCTCCTCCAGGAAGCCTTCCCTGACTCCATCTTCTGGGTCAGTTTCTCTATTGAATATTCTTGTGGGAGGATGCTCCTCTCCTTCCTGGTGCAGACCTGACTTTGTTATTGTCTTCTGTAAGTGTGAATCTTTGGTGAGTGTCTGTCTTTCTCACCAGATGGTAAAACCCCCGTGTCGTATGTGTCTTTTTTTTTTTTTTTTTAATTGAGACAGGTCTCACTCTGCCACCCAGGCTGGAGTGCAGTGGTGTAATCTCTGCTCCCGGCAGCCTGTACCTCCTGGACTCCAGCAATCCTTCTGCCTCAACTTCCTGAATAGCCAGGTTTACAGGTGTGCATCACCATGCATGGCTAATTTTTTGTATTTTTGGTGGAGATGGGGTTTCACCATGTTGCCCAGGCTGGTCTTGAACTCCTGACTTGAAGTGATCTACCCACCTCGTCCTTCTGAAGTGCTGGGATTACAGGCGTGAGCCACTGTACCTGGTCCATGCGTCTGATTTCTTATCCCCAGTGTCTTGCACAGTGCCTGACACATTCTAATGTACCAGCACACAAATCAGGGCCCCTTTTCGCTCTGAAGTTTCATGATGCAAAGTGTGAGTTGACCCCCACCACTACCAATTTGAGAGACACCAAGGTACTTCACATTTGGACTCTGGGTCAGTTAACTCATCCCAGATTATGCATTTTGTATGCTTGACATCTGGTGTAGGAACCACATCAATTGTACAGCCTTTCCCTGCCTTATCTCTTTTTGATCCTTGCAGCAATAAGGGCTGGAACTATTCTCTTCATCTTATAGATGACAATCCCATGGCTCAGAGAGTGTAACCTGGCCAACATCACCCAGCTAACAAGTGTTGAAGATCAGAGTGGGACTGACTGCTCACCTCCTTCTACATCATTTACTAGGTATGGGCTTACCTTACGCTACTGAGATCTCCTAAGTTTGCTGCTCTTTTCTCTGAGTTCTGAGAGTCAGGTGTAATCCCCCACAAAACACACAATCATTGTTTCCTTCTTTCAACTCAGCAACGGCCTTTGCTCTTACTTCTGGTCACGGAGTAAGAAATGGGAGTGCCTGGAAACACCCGCGTGCAGGTTGGGCCCACCTGGGGCGGAGGGTACGGCTGCCCAAAGAACTAGGGCTCTGACTTCAGTCCCCTGGAGAGAGCTGTCCATCTCTAATTCAGCGTTTTCAGGACCAGATCACTCTATCCCTGGGACTCTGTCTTGATGTGAAAAAATCTTACAACTATCTGCCTCTTTGGTTGCACGCAATAGACTGAAGTGTGACGCGCAACTCGGCTGATGAAATCCATGAGGCCGAAGTCCCCTGACTTCTGGGTCTTGGAGACTGGCTGGGCACATGTATTGGCTGCGTGTGTGTGTGAATGAGGGAGGGGTGGGAACACTGCAGAGAGAGGAGTTGTGTGCACTGAGTGAGCATGGAGGCAAAGTAGTCCCTACCCCCCTTCATGTATCCCATCTGGGCAGGTGGAAGAGGAAGTGAATACGAGGGGCCGTTCTGGGTGGTTCTGCTCTGTTTGCTTTTACCATAGCCCGGTTCACACCCCTTCATGCATGTAAGGGCACAAGAGTCATTGGGGAACTTTCCATCCTCTCCCGTGCTAAAGACTTTTCTCCCCAGCAGAGAGTCTTCCCAACAGAGAACCCAGATGGGGTCTTTGTCTCCCCAGGTTCCAAGCTAAAGGGATAATTTCCCATTCTGCCTGGTAGGCAGGATCATTCGTGGCCTATCAGGGGTGGAAGGGGCTGTTGAGACTCTCTTCCCAGCCTCCGTGAGGAAAACGGCCCAGAGGAGAAAACACCTGCCCCACGTCCTCTTGGCCACCCCAGCGGGACCTGAGGCCGGGGTCACAGGATCCCCAGTCGGGACGCAGTGTCCGGCTACTTGCTCATGCAGCCTCAGCAGGCCTGGTCTTGCCCCTGCTTGTCCAAGCCTCTCTGGCCACCCTGCCAGGTAGGTCTTACGTGCACTCACCTCGTCCCGGCGGGGCTTGCTAGGTGGAAGCGGCAATGTGTTGCTGCCCAAGAGCCCCAGGTCCACAGACATGTCTGCGTACGGCACCTGCGTCTCACCTCCTCTTCCCATGACCAAACTACAGGTCCAGTTTCTCAGGAGACACCTCGATGTTGAGGGAATACCAGATGACCCAGAACAGTAGGCTGAAAGCCAGGATCAGGGCACCTGTGTAGACGAAGAAGTCCCAGTAACTCAGGGAGGCCAAGATCCCCAGCAGCAAAAAGACCAGGCCGACCACATCCAGCAGGAGGGCGAGGACCAGGAAGAGCACACAGCGCCCTGGATGGCATCTTCCCCACAGACTCCCCAGGAGCATTGCCCAGGAGGAGCGGGAGGAGCCCAGCTGCACTCCCGGGGGTGATTTGCATGGGAGGGTGGCGGTCCTGCCTGCTGCTGCCTTCTCTGCCTGCTGGGTGTGAGCAAATGAGCGGGCCGGAGCGTCTTGTAGCCACAAGGAAGTACACGTGGGTCTTACCTTTATGAGCACGGCAGCCAGTGGGGCAGGATATTTCTTAACTGTTTCATGGCTCAGGAATGATCTGGACCCAAACAGCCTGACATCCTTGTTAACTGGGCTGGTCATTGCTGGGATCAACAATCCACGTGGCCGAGGAGTCAGGGTGCCTTTGGATGCATCTGCCAAGTTGGTGGTCCCGTGATTCTGGGGGAGGGGCCGTTCTGTGCCTTGTTCTCTAACCTGGGAGCCAGAGAGCGTGAGTGCCCTGTTTCTGAGACACAGCTGCTGTTTCTAGTACAGTGGGGTGGTGTGGCGGAGTTTCCATTCCTCTTCACCTCTCTGCCCTACTCTCTCCCTTGCGGGGAAAGGTTTTATGTAGAGGACACAGACAAGAGTTTGTAACATCGATCGATTTTGAAGTGTTGCTGTAAGAATTGGTCCATATTAGCAAGAGAAGGTTTGCCTTCTTGTAGAGGCCTCGCTCTGCAGACAGAAGGATCTGAGCTCCCTGGGATCATAGACAGTAAGGATAAGGGCGGAAAAGGGGCAGAGATGGAAAAGACATCTTCTCCATCCACCCCACTTCAGGTCAACCTCACTCGACACAGACATTGAGCATCCAGGGAAATGCCGATTCCTCAGGTTCTGGATCTACTCAAGATTCTCAGTACAGTTGTCCCTTGTTGTCTGTGGGGGATGGGCTCCAGGACGCTTGGGGACCCCAGAATCCACAGATGCTCAAATTCCTTATATAGAACCTTTGCGCAGCTGGGTGCAGTGACTCAAGCCTGTAATCCCAGGGCTTTGAGAGGCCGAGGCGGGTGGATTGCTTGAGCTCAGGAGTTTGATACCAGCCCGGGCAACATAGGGATATCCCGTCTCCACAAAAAACACAAAAATTGGCCAGGTGTGGTGGTGTATGCCTGTAGTCCTAGCTACTCAGGAGGCTGAGGCAAGAGGATTGCTTGACCACAGGAAGTCAAGGCTGCAGCAGTAAGCCGTGATTATTCCACTGCACTCCAGTCTGGGAGACGTAGTGAGTGAGATCCTGTCTCAAAAAAAAAAAAAAAAAAAAAAATCCCAAACAAAAACCAAAAAACTACCTATGTACATCCTCCCCTAGGCTTTAAATCATCTCTAGATAACTTATAATACCTAATACAAAGTAAATGCTACACAAATAGTTATTATACTATATTTTCTATTCATGTTTTTGATTGTTGTATCATTATTTATATTTGCGGTTTTTCTGAATATTTTAGGTTCATGGTTGGTTGAATCTGCAGACATGGAACCCCCAGATACAGAGGGCTGACTGTATTACTATTTTTACACACACAAGCACACTCACATACATGTTTCCTGCTAAAATACTATGCCATATTTATGAGCAAAAGGAAGCAAATTGAAACCACTTGCTATTTCAGTATCCAGAGCTAATTAGCACAAACTCCTTGGGATGCATCCTGCAGAACCATAAACATCCTTCTTCCTTACAGAAATGGGCCGCATCATACTCTACGTTCCGCAGTCTGCGTTCCCTCTCATAATACCTGGCCATTATGGAAAATGGCTAACCATGGCCCCACTCCAGGTGACTGGCCAGGCTGTGAAGTGCCCCTCCACCTCTGCCCCTGTGTATCTTTCTTACTCTCGTTTCCCAAAGTTACCACTCCTGTGTGTTGAGGCAGCCTCGATATTTGCACAGCTGAGAGAGACCCACTGGGATGTTTGATGCAAAGCCAGGTGAGTCTGGCGCCCTGGAGGGGGGCAGGCTAGAAAGAAAACAAGGGAGATGAAAGTGAGTAGGGAGGGTGACTCCAAGTGTGGGAACCAGAAACTGCCTGGGCGGAGGCAGGCGTGGATGAGGGGCAGGTGATCAGAGAGCAGTTTGCTCCAGCCCCGTTAGCAAAAAGAACACCACCACCCTCTTCTTCCCACGGAGATCCTTCATGACTTGCTCACTTCCCAAGGCTGGATCCACAGCTGGAAATAGCTGCATGGTTTGCCAGGGCCGCCGTAACAAAGCACCACAGCCAGGGTGACTCGAACAACAGAAATGTATCATCTCCCAGTTCTGGAGCCTGGAAGTCCTGAGACCAGCGTGTCTCCAGGGTTGGTTCCCTTGAGGGCTGTGAGGCAGAATGGGGTCCAGGCCTCGGCCCTAGCTCTGGGTGGTTTGCTGGCCATCTGTGACATTCCTGGCCTTGTAGATGCACCACTTTGATCTCCACCTTTATCTTCACATGGCGTTCTCCCTGTGCGTATGTCTGTGTCCACCTTTTCCCCCGTTATAAGAAGCATCATCCTGCTCCAGTATGAATTCATCCTAACTAATTAGATCTGCAAAGATCCCACTTCCAAATAAAATCCCACTCTGAGTTACGGGGGGTTAGGATTTCAGCATATGAATTGAGAGGACAGAATTCAAGCCACAGCCCATAGCAATAGTTAAAAGTTTTGTTTGTTTATTTGGACATCCTTTGATTTCTAGCCCGTATAGATAGAAAATTTAGACTCTCAAACCAAGTTTTCGGAAAAAAACATAATTGCAAAGTCAGCACCCCATTGATGGTGGCCCACCATGCCACCAGGCACCAGGACAGATGCTTCAACCCCTCCCCGTCTCCCCTGGGGACACGGAGATGCTGTTGGCTATCTCTGCGTCCCTGGGTGAGAAGCTGAGACGGTGGGGTCTTCTTGCCCTGCTTGGGTTCTGGCTACAGTCCCTTCTGTTCACCAGGCCAAAGTGCTCATTCTCCAAGAGTGGATAACCCTAAGTGACCCCTACACATTTTGAAGTTTGAGCTGAAGTGGGATTTAAATTAAACCAATATTATTAGCACCTACTATGGGTCAGGCAGTGGGATCAAGATCGAGTATGATCTTGATCTTGGCCTAACATCACCGAGATAACACGCTAAGAGTGGAGGCGATAATTAACACATGAATGATATAATTTCAGATTATATTGCAATTTAATAATTTCAGAAAAAATTGCAAAAACAGGGAAGTATAAGACAGTAGACATCTGTTGCATTCCTCTGGACGTTTGCTTTCTGAACCATAACACAGTGTGGAAGACACAGGCGGACGCCTAGACCCTGGCCTATAACTTCCAGTTTGGTCACCGAGGGCCCCTCTGCCTCTCTCCTTCTGAGATTTTTGCTGGGCTTTTGGGGCTGCAGCCACCCCTGTGCCTCTGAGAGGTCTGTCTTTCTGCTGCTGCCTCACAGCTCTGCCTCTTCTCGGCAATTGAGACTTTGTCACTCCCATGGCAAAGTCATCATGATTTGTCATCTGTGATGTCACCAGATGACAGCCTCTCCATGACCTGGATCCTAAAGGGCAGGTGACTGAGACCAGGATGGACTAGCCAGGTGCTCAGCTGACCCAGCGTCACAGATCCCAGACCTGACTGTATGAATGACAAAAGCCCTATCCCCTCCTGGGTGGCAGGCATAGAAGGTGGGCGGGTCTAGCCATACTAGTCCGTTCATTAGGCCTGCCTGCCTTTTCATAAGGCCTACAGAGCTTAGTAGAATGCCTGGCTGTGCCACTCACCTGCTGTGTGACCTTGAGCCAGGCCAGTCACTTACCCTCTCTGTGCCTCAATTTCCTCACAGGGTTACTGTGAGGCTTAAGTGAGTTCATGGGTGTGAAGTGCTCAGAACCCACCCTCTGTAAACAGGGACAAGTGTTATTGTTATGGTTGCCACTGGGATCTTTACATTTCTGCCATGATGCTTCCATAAGGAGAACCCCAGGTTGGAAGGCATCCATCCGTGACTCTCTGGCACCATCCTTTTCTCCCCTTTACCAACCTCGGCTTCACTTGGTTGCAGCTGCCCATCCCTTGGCCTCCCCATACTACCCTCACTAAATCTATTAGGACGTGCAGTGCCATCTCACCATTCTTAGGTACAAATCCTTTATTTTCATGAAATCCCCTTCCCAGACCCATTTTATCCTTCAGATCCCTTACCTCTACCAAAGTGGCTCTTTATCTTCACCATCCTCAAATCCCTCAACGCTCCCTACTCTCGTAATCCAGTGTTTATCAAGCCTCACTTGTTGTCTAAGTGTACCATCCCTGCAATCTACGTCTCTTACTTATTATAGAATATTATATTCGTTTGTTAATATTATATTATTTTTTAATTTTTGAAATGGATTTGTTGTCTCTACTAAAAAAATACAAAAAAATTAGCCGGGCGCGGTGGCGGGTGTCTGTAGTCCCAGCTACTCGGGAGGCTGAGGCAGGAGAATGGCGTGAATTTGGAGGTGGAGCTTGCAGTGAGCTGAGATTGTGCCATTGCACTCCAGCCTGGGTGACAGAGCGAGGCTCCATCTCAAAAAAAAAAAAAAAATGATTTGTTAAAACTGCAATCAGTTATTGTCCCCATCAGTGAAACACTGGTGTGACTTAGACAGAAAGTACTCGGGAATAAATACACTGAACACAAAACAATTGTAATTAAATCAGACCAGGGATACTCAAACTTTTTCTGTATTGGGCCAGAGAGTAAACGTTTTGGGTTTTGCAGGCAATCCTGTTGGTCTGTTACAACTATTCAACACTGTCATTATAGCGTGATATGGTTTGACTTTGTGTCCCCACCCAAATCTCATCTCAAATTATATTCCACATAATTCTCACTATCCCCACCTGTCAAGGGAGAGACCAGGTAGAGGTAATTGGATCATTGGGGTGGTTTCCCCCATACTGTTCTTGTGATAGTGAGTTCTCACAAGATCTAAGGGGCTCGTCCCCCTTTGCTGGGCACTTCTCCTTCCTGCCTCCTTGTGAAGAAGGTGCCTTGCTTCCCCTTCCCCTCCCACCATGATTGTAAGTTTCCTGAGGCCTCCCCAGCCTTGCTGAGCTGTGAGTCAATTAAACCTCTTTCCTTTATAAATTATCCAGGCTTGGGTATGTCTTTATAGCAGTATGAAAACAGACTACTGCATGGTGAAAGAACCAGAGATGAGATGTAAATGAATAACTGTGGCTGCGTTCCAATAAAACTTTACTGTAATCCCAGCACTTTGGGAGGCTGAGATGGGCAGATCACCTGAGGGTTAGGAGTTTGAAAGCAGCCTGTCCAAATGGTGAAAACTTGTCTACTAAAAATACACAAAATAACTGGATGTGTTTGCCGATGCCTGTAGTCCCAGCTACTCAAGAGGCTGAGGCAGGAGAATCGCTTGAACTAGGGAGGTGGAGGTTGCAGTGAGCCGAGATCGCACCACTGCACTCCAACCTGGATGACAGAGTGAGACTCCAACTCCAACAAAACAAAACAAAACACCTTTACTTACAAAACCAGGCAGTAGGCCAGATTCGCTGATTTCCAGATTAGACATTGTTGCCTACTGAAATTGCTCTCTTTCTCAAATAAAGGCTGAAGACTCACAGAGTTTAGAGAGGTAGATAATATCACCAACCAGCGGCGTTGTCTTGGAAGTCATAGGAAAGATTGAATGAAAATTGAAATGGCTATGCCTTTGAATGTGAGCCTGTGTGCCAGCTGAAATCACTTCCCATACTGCCAGGGATGTAGTGCCAGAATTTGGAAAAATGTTGACCCTGATCAACGCTCTCCAATCAATCTTCATTTACTCCTCCTTTTTCTCAGGGTGGGACTTAGGGTCAATATTTTCGGAAATGTATTCTTTCTTAACTTAGTGACCCCTGACAATTTTCAGAGCTCTTCATTCCTCCTCTGTTAGGCTACCAGAGGGTCTTATAAGAGTTCCCCCAATTGTGCTGCCTGGACCTCTGTTATCCATGCT